AAAAAAAAAAGAATACCGTTGCAGATACAAAAAAACAACAATAAACAAACAAAAAACGACTTTGAAAAATGACTTTCTTCTTTCGGATGAATCCAGTCGGAGTTATATTAAAATTGTCTTTGATCTTTCAAGCTGTTTAATGCCACTCAGCGGGTGTTGCGTGCATCAGTCCAAAAGAAGTGAAATAAAAAGCACCCATCCATAAAAAAGTGCCTCACACGTCATGCTCCCGGAGCTGCTTCTGTGTACAACTGCTGGCGCAAGCTAGATTAAAGTGATTATTACATTTTGAATATGGATATTTTTCTTACTAAAATGCATGGATTCGCTACAGGAGGCCTTTGTTCAGCCCCCGGAGCCGTGAGAGACACTTTTTTTATGGATGTGCGCTTTTTATTTCACTTCTTTTGGACTGAAGCATGCAACACCCGCTGAGTGGCATTAAACAGCTTGAAAGATCAAAGACAATTTTAATATAACTCCGACTGGATTCGTCTGAAAGAAGAAAGTCATACACACCTAGGATGACTTGAGGGGGAGTAATTCATGGGTTGATTTTCATTTTTGGGTGAACTAACCCTTTAAAAACTTGCAATTGTGAGACATAAACTCGAGATATAAAAGTCTGAATTGTGAGACAAACTCACGAGTGGAAGGAAAACAGTCTGAATTGTGAGATGAGAAAGTTGCAATTACATTTTTTTTTTCAGTGGCGGAAACTAAAAAGAATTGTGAGATGTAAATTCAGAAGTCTAAGAAAAAAAAGTCAGTTACGTTTCTCTATTGTTTCCTCGCTGTATTTCTGTGACTGGAGCTGCTTTGTAAAACACACTGAGCTGAAGTAAACCTGCTGTTGTTAGTGTGTGACGTCTGGTTGTTTTCTCCTCGAGCGCTGCTGTCTGAGGTGGTGTGCAGCTGACAGAATGGCGCTGTGATGAAGTCTGTGTTTCCTCCGGTCGCTCGTGGTGTCTCTGAGCGTCTGCGGTGGGAGCGTGATGTGGACCCAGGTTACGTCTGTAAGCTGAGCACCAGACCGTACTACAGACGCCCTCAACATCAACATCCAAAAAAACTATCGTCTTAGATTCTTCCTGAGTCTCAGACACGGCCTACACGTTTTTTTCCAACAAAAAAAACCTTTCAACTTTTCATGTTTATCTCAACAAAAAAGTTTAAAAAAAATTCTCTCATCAAAAAACTCATTTTTTATTTCTTAAACTTCTGAAAACTATTTTTCTCTTTTTTTCATTTTCTCTCATTTCTAATTGTTTTCTCTTATCAAAGAGAGAACTGTTCATGTTTCACAACTTTTATCTCATAAAACTTTTTTCTCTCTTCAAAAACATTTAACTGTTTTATTTCTTAAACTTTTCATTAAAAAATTATCTTATCAAAAAAAAACTGCATTTATCTTTTTAAACATCTCATAAATATTTTTTTCTCATCAAAAAACAATTTTTTCTCTTCAAAAACTTTTCATTTTTATCTTCTCTTAAACTTCTAAAAAAATGTATTTCATCAAAAAACTTCATTTTTTCTCTCTTTAAAATCTTTACATTTTTTAATACTTATACTTCATAATTTTTCCTCATTAAAAAACGTAATTTATCTCTATTTAATTTAAACACCTTTTTCTCTTTAAAATACTTTAAAAAAAAAAAAGAAAAGAAAAAAAAATATCATAAAAAAACCCGTCTAATTCTCATATTTTTATCTCATAAAAACGTTTTTTCCCCCACATGAAAACACGCTTTTTTCCTCTTCAAAAACTCTTCTTTTTTTATTTCTCAAACGTCTCTCATCAAAAAACATTTTTTTATCTTGAAGAAAATTTCTCATTAAAAAAATTTACATTTTGAGGAAAAAATATTTTCCTTATCAAATTTTTGTATCCATAAACTCATAAAAAAATCTCTCAACAAAAATCAGTTTTTCTCTCTTTAAAAATCTTTTACATTTTTCACTTAAACATTTTTCTTCTCACCAAAAAGCTGTTTTCTTCAAAAGTTTTTTTCATCAAGGGCAACACAAGACAAACGCTAGCTATCTATTAGCATACAGTACCAGCGCTGGCCACCAGGTGTCGCTATAGCACGACATCTAATGCTTGCGCTGCTTTATCCCTCAATAACACATTTACATGAAGGTTTTGCACATTACACAATTAATATAGCATTCCTTGTCATATGTAACAACTGGAGTTATATCAAAATTTTGGAATAGAGAAAGTTTTTTTATGAGAGAGGAAAAAGTTGGATTTTTATTATTTTTCAAATATTCACGAGGAAAAAAAGTTTTTTGATAAGGAGAACGTTTTCATTTTTTGATGACAAAAGCTTTTTGAAGAGAAATTTTTTTTTATAAAAAAATGAAAAAGTTTTTTGATCTGCGTGTTTCTGCTCTTCATCGTTAGCTGTATTGTGTGTTTGACCGATGATCTGAGCGTTCGTGTGTTTGTACGTTACATTTCTCCACGTCCTGCAGAATCCACAGCGTCTCCTCCTCCATACCTTCAGATCTTCATCACGAGGCGAGTCTTCTTCTGTCCTGATCTGAGTGTGAACACGCGCTCGTTTAAAAATGCAGTAAGCGATTTCTGAGAAATGCTGTTGACACGCCCCTACCCGAAAGAATCACACCCCTATCTTAATAGCTCCGCCCCCAAACTTACATTCTATTCAACACAGGCACCTCCCCCATCACTACTGGACACGCCCCTTACTGGTGATTGGCTACAAGTGTGTTTTGGTGCTCGGTCCGATCCACTTTCAACAGCGTTTCGCTGGAGTCGCCATTCACCTGAAAATATCACGCCTGATGAAAACAAGCAGCGCATTCATTATTAGTTTAGAAACTGATTCTAACCCTTGCGAAAATTAACCATGGTTTTGCTACACTAACCATAGAATATCAAAATCAACTGAGGGCGGAAGATCCTTCTCCTATTTAGCTCCCAAACTCTGGAATAACCTACCTAACATTGTTCGGGAGGCAGACACACTCTGTCAGTTTAACCTGGCTTACACATAACACACTAACGCGCTTCTAATATTAAAATCCGTTAAAGGATTGTTAGGCTGCATTAATTAGGTCAACCGGAACCGGGAACACTTCTCATAACACCCGATGTACTTGCTACATCACTAGAAGAATGGCATCTACGCTAATATTAGTCTGTTTCTCTCTTATTCCGAGGTCACCGTAGCCACCAGATCCAGTCTGTCTCCAGATCAGATGGTGGATCAGCACCTAGAGAGGACCTCTACAGCCCTGAAAGACAGCGGAGACCAGGACAACTAGATGAGCCCCAGATACAGATCCCCAGTAAAGACCTTGTCTCAGACGACCACCAGGACAAGACCACAGGAACCAGACGAGTCCTCTGCACAATCTGACTTTGCTGCAGCCTGGGATTTTTCTCCATTTCTCTCAGCGATGGAGTTTTGGTTCCTCTGGCTTGCTTAGTTGTGGACGCTTGACTGATTGCACAGACACTATTGAAGAGAGCTGAATCATCAATGAACTGACTTTAGCTGAAAAATGACTCCGTTATTGTCTTCTTACATTATTGACCAACTATTGTCCTGTTTAACTCTGTAAAGCTGCTTTGACACAACCAGTATCGTATAAAGCGCTATACAAATAAAGGTGACTTTAACCATGCTATTTGTAATAAAACTGTAGTTATAGAAATGATAATCAAGCAGCCAAAAAAAACAAACCTGGCGACTACACAGTACGTTTTCGTAAGGGAAACATTGAAAAACATGGTTCAGTCATAGATGATCGTAAGCATGTACATTTATTTGAAAAATATATTTAGAGTCCAATTAAAGTTATTTTAATGTTTAAAAATTAAGATGCTGAATTACTGAATTTTAGTGCCATGTAAAAAAAATCATTTCAGATTAACGTTACCAGAATAAAGTCGTAGCATTGTGAGATGGAAGTCATGTTGAGAATAACGTCAAAAGTATCAACTCATGCTATTTGTAATAAAACTGTAGTTATAGAAATGGTAATCAAGCAGCCAAAAAAAACAAACCTGGCGACTACACACAGTACGTTTTCGTAAGGGAAACATTGAAAAACATGGTTCAGTCATAGATGATCGTAAGCATGTACATTTATTTGAAAAATATATTTAGAGTCCAATTAAAGTTATTTTAATGTTTAAAAATTAAGATGCTGAATTACTGAATTTTAGTGCCATGTAAAAAAAATCATTTCAGATTACCGTTACCAGAATAAAGTCGTAGCATTGTGAGATGGAAGTCATGTTGAGAATAACGTCAAAAGTATCAACATATTAACAAAGTTGAATACTTTAATATACAATCAGAAACTGTAACGCAAACCATAACTACAGTAAGGTTTTTCTAAAAAATAAAAAAAAAATCTTTAAAAAAGTTCATATGCTGTCAATCATTTTCATGGACCAATATAAAAAAACTACCATGATAATGAACATTTTTTCATCATTTTAAATTTTATAATAATTTCAAAAATTATCACTTTATTGTGCAATATTAAAAATCGCATACTATTTTGTTACCATTAAAGTGATACTTTACATTTTTAAATAATTTAAAAATCATTTTATCATCTGATATTGAAATTGCATAGTATTTTGGCTAATTAAATTACCATAATATTAAAATGATTTAAAAATGAATAATTTTTATGACCTGATGTTAAAATCGCATACTGTTGTCTAAACAAATAAATAAAACACTAAAAACTAAAATCAATCATCAATAAAGCATTAAATGCTAAAGAGCTAATTTAAGCATCACAACATTATAGCGAACAGTATGGATAATCATTTTGAGATCTGCTGAAGACTGTTAGATTAAAAAATTAAAGTGAGTGTTAGATGACAGAAAGGTACTCTAAACACATAAAACAGAAGAAATGAGCATGAAATATTATTTATATGATTATTATTATTTGCTATTTTAATTGTTTTTATTGAATGAAAATGCTAATAGTTTGGCCAGTGTAAGGAATGGCGCAGAAAGCGACCGGTTAGTGACCTGTGAAGAGTTCTGGTGCCATGTGGATGGGCGTCCCCACGATACTGCCGGACATCATGGCCTCGGGTTTACAGAAGCCCAGGTCAGTGATCTTCGCCCGGTTCTGTTTGTCCAGCTACACAGAAGAACACAAACCCACATTATAGTGCGTGATGAAGGGATATGAAGCGCTATGAAGCATTATGAAACGTTATGAAGGGCTATAAAGTGTTATGAAGGGTTATGAAGGGCTATGAAGCATTATGAAGCGCTATGAAGCATTATGAAATATTATGAAGCACTATGAAGGGCTATAAAGTGTTATGAAGCATTACAAAGTGCTATGAAGGGTAATGAAGTACTCCAGCTACACAGAAGAACACAAACCCACATTATAGTGCGATATGAAGGGTTATGAAGGGTTATGAAGCGCTATGAAGCATTATGAAACGTTATGAAGGGCTATAAAGTGTTATGAAGGGTTATGAAGGGCTATGAAGCATTATGAAGCGCTATGAAGCATTATGAAATATTATGAAGCACTATGAAGGGCTATAAAGTGTTATGAAGCATTACAAAGTGCTATGAAGGGTAATGAAGTACTATAAAGCATTATGAAGCACTATGAAGCGTTATGAAGAGCTATAAAGCATTATGAAGCATTACAAAGTGCTATGAAGTGTTATGAAGGGCTATAAATCATTATGAAGCGCTATAAAGGGTTATGAAGGGCTATAAAGCATTATGAAGCGCTATGAAGGGCTATAAAGCATTATGAAGCACTATGAAGCATTATGAAGAGCTATGAAGGGCTATAAAGCATTATGAAGCTTTACAAAGTGCTATGATGCGTTATGAGGAGCTATAAAGCATTATGAAGAACTATGAAGGGTTATGAAGGGCTATGAAGCGTTATGAAGGGCTATAAAGCATTATGAAGCACTATGAAGCGTTATGAAGAGCTATGAAGGGTTATGAAGGGCTATAAAGCATTATGAAGCTTTACAAAGTGCTATGAAGTGTTAAGAAGGGCTATAAATCATTATGAAGCACTATAAAGTGTTATGAAGGGCTATAAAGCATTATGAAGCGTTATGAAGGGCTATAAAGCATTATGAAGCACTATGAAGCATTATGAAGAGCTATGGAGGGTTATGAAGGGCTATAAAGCATTATGAAGCTTTACAAAGTGCTATGATGCGTTATGATGAGCTATAAAGCATTATGAAGCGTTATGAAGGGCTATAAAGCATTATGAAGCATTATGAAGCATTATGAAGAGCTATGAAGGGTTATGAAGGGCTATAAAGCATTATGAAGCTTTACAAAGCGCTATGATGCGTTATGAGGAGCTATAAAGCATTATGAAGAACTATGAAGGGTTATGAAGGGCTATAAAGCATTATGAAACACTGAAGGGCTATAAAGTGTTATGAAGCATTATGAAGGGTTATGATGAGCTATGAAGAGCTATAAAGGGCTGTGAAGCTTTTTGAAGGGCTATGAAGCACTATGATGCGTCATGAAGTGTTATGATGCGTTATGAAGCACTATGATGCGCTACGTAGTGTTATGATGTGCTCTCGTCACAGAGAATCAGATGGTGGATGCAGTTCCTCACCAGAACGTTCTTCAGCTTGATGTCACGATGCAGCAGACCCTGACTGTGCAGGAACCGAATCCCCTCCACCACGTCCAGAGCGATCTGAAGACGCTCCTTCAGAGACAGACTGGCCTGAGAGAGACAGACACATCAATCACAACCACAGACAGACAGACAGACAAACGGACAGCCGTTGTTGTGATGGTACCTTCAGTCCCGCGTAGAGATCTCGGTGTAATCGCTCCATAATCAGCAAAACCGCAATACTGGAGCCGCCGCTGTACGAGTGGTCGATAACCGACCCGTGGAGATTCACTAAACGTTCGTGTTTAGGCAGAGACCTGATGGACACAGAGAACTTTAATGATTAAACAATAATAAAAACAAATACTACTGCTATTTGTATTGAGTAAAAAAAAGAAAAAGAAGTTCTTATTAATTACTAAAAATACAATTAATAATAATAGAAATAAAAACTGTAAAATTACAACTAATAGCAATTATAATAAAAATGATAAGCACTATCATTATAATTATTTAAATAATTCATGAAATAATACAATAAAAAATACTAAATTAACTATTATTATTTTCTTTCAATAAAAAGTCATAAATAAAAATAATAAATACATTTTAGTATTATTATTGTCATCATTTTTAAACAATAAATGTAATTAGACACACTGCACTGGAGTGGTGTTACCGTGTGTAGTGGAACTCCAGCGCGAGGTCGTTCCAGTGCTTGTCGTCAGGAGGAACGACTGACTTTAGGGCACACGGGTGACGTCCACCCCAGCTATCACACATATACACCACACCGTACTGACCACGGCCCAGCTCACGGCCCATCTTCGGCTTTCCTGAGGGGACACACACACACACACACACACAGAGACACACAC